ATAAAGGATTCGTCCCATGCAGCACTGTACATTCATCCGCCACCCAATTCATCTTAATTGTTGTCACTCCATTGCTGCCTCTGTACCATTTTAAGCAGACACGCGCTGGCAAGGAGTCACAGTTACACACACACATACATTCCCTCACACAACGGTGAAACTGAGTTGGCGGGTGAGGTGTCAGCATCACTTCAGAGACAGCTTGATGACAATCCAGCTGGAGTCACACTTTTAAAGGTCACACGCGGATCACACGCACTTTCTTTCTCCGTCTGAAGGTGTCTCTCACACTCACGTGCAAACACGCACAAGCGCCTTTTAATTAAAAGCTGCAATCAAGCTAACTGTCTCCTGCATGTATTAACGCCTCTCGCAGACGTGAGAATGACGTTGTACGCAAGTTATAAAAGTCTGGAACATTTAACTTATCTACACGTGTAAGGCTGGTTGTGAAGAACCTTCAGAGAATCCCACAAGTGAAGAAAAAAAAATGTTAAAACCCAAAATGAGATAATTTATCATGCTAACGTCACTTGCCTCACAGTTGAAAACAAAGACAAAGTTTTAGCCTACTTTTCACAGTGTCTATTCAATATATTATATGTATAATTATAAATGCCACTACTAATAATAATAATAATTCATTTATTTTATATAGGCGCCTTTCAAAGCTCTCAAGGTCGCCGTACAAACACAAACAAAAAGAAAATAATAATAAAAGAAACCTAAACAAGACAATGCAGTATGTAAAAAATTAAATAAATTAAACAGAGGATGTGTGATGGATAATGATCAGGGTGGATATGCGAGTGTGAAGAGATATGTTTTGAGACGTGATTTGAAAATGGGGAGAGAGTCAGTGTTGCGGATGTCAGGTGGGAGGGAGTTCCAGAGGCGGGGTGCAGAGCGGCTGAAGGCTCTAGACTCCATTGTGGTTAAACGGAAGGGAGGTGCAGTGAAGTGGAGGGAAGCAGAAGACCTGAGAGTGCGGATGGGTGTGTTGATGTGCAGGAGGTCGGAGAGGTACAGAGGAGTGAGGTCATGGATGGCCTTAAAGGTGAGGAGCAGAATCTTAAAAACTATACAGGATTTGACAGGGTCTACTCATCTACCAAATCAATGTCAACCCAATCTAAATGGTGATGTCAACAAAAATAATTTTATTGTTAGGGTATACATTTCACCTTGACAAATGGCTTTCAATTTAGCAATCAATCCACATAAACATCTTTGTCTATGGTAAAGATGTCTGTGTAGTGACAAAATAAAACCTTTACTCAGAAACAAGCAGCATCCTAATGCTCCATCCTTATGCATAACAGCTCTCCGTGAGCTATTGCCACTTTGATTCTGCCGCAAAGTGCAGACAAACAAAAACGTTTAGCTTCAAAAGAATACCCGTAGCCAATCATTAACCAGAGTGCATTGACGCAAAATACAGCTCACTTTTAACAATTTATTTCTTCCTACTTCTACACAAATGACACGGCCTACCAGCTGCAGAAAATTCTATGTATTGTGTTGAGTCACTCTATGCCGCTGCCTGGTGTGTTTACAGCCTCACAAGGCAAGGAACTTAGTTATCTGAGTGGAGCTTTGAGTCGAACTACTGCTCTTTTTTACTGAAAGGACCCAGACGAGGTTATATATACTGCTCACATGAAGATGTCGCCCTATGGAGTTATTCTAGGAAAATCCAACTGGGAGAAGGTTCCTTAGGTTCCCCAAGGAGGTGTTTAAGAATATTACTTGGGAACATTTATGGCAGGGCTATTCAATTAGTTTGGAATGGGGGGGTCGCGTACCCGTTTCGAGTGGGTCGCAGATGTGCGAGTGAAGAAAAAAAAATGTTTTATTCATTTTGTTCAAACTTTTATTTGGAAGGCCTCATTTTCTAATGCTGTGCATGCAGTAGGCGTTGGACTGGAAGTACCGGAGACCATAAACGGTTTTGAAAACTTCTTTCACGTAGTGATCATCTTCTCAATAAAACATCTTTGCTGATGTGTTTTCGAGTCTTCTGGCCAATCAGAATCAAGATTGTTGCCGGAAGTCCCCACGGGGGATAACTTTGAGGTAGAACTATTCTTTATACATCCATGGGTACAACTTCAGATACAAATGAACACATAATAAAATATGACCCCCGGTTTGATGATTGACAGGTCACAGAACAATGGGGGTTATCTACCCTTACCCACAATTTAAAGTAAATCACACAGACTATCTCCTCTTTGCTCTTCTCTCTGTGAGGAGCAGCAAGTTGTCAGAATAAAGTGAAAAACAAACAATGGCATACAATATTATTAATATGTCGGGTAGTAATAGATTTATTTATTTTCTTCTCAGAGTGTACCAGAATGCGTAGTTTATATGTTAGTATTTCTAAAAATCTCCTGGGGGAGAATCCCCCCAGACCCCCTTCTGGGGTTGGGTTTTCAGCATGTTATACAGTTCAGCTTTGATTCCATCATCTCATTAAACCTTTTTTAAAAGCATACTTTAGTTCTGTGAAGGGATATAAGGGATATATGCACTGTACTTCACTTTAATTAATATTGTATGCTGAAAAGCGTATATATTATTGCACGATTTATTGTTGAATAGATTTGAGTGGTTCAAAATTTCGGATCACGATTTATTGACAAAGGAAAAAAGTGGGTCCCGAGGCCTGACCAGTTGAGAACCACTGCTTTAGAGTCTCTTAAATACTTATTCTGAGGGTGGCGCCAGCAGTGCGGTTTGTAACTTTGAGTTCAAAATGTGCAATGGCAATCTGCCATAAAGATGTGTTCTTGTTTCATTCCTGTCCATCCCTCCATCTTTTTTTGGTCACATGATCTGCACACGACCCTTTATAGAGAGAATATAGCTGCTTATTTTCTGTGCTGGGACTCAGCACGGGAAGTTAAGGAGGGCTAATTTGCCATAAAGCCTCCATTTGAATATAACAAAATTTAAATTGGCTAGCTAGTCCCTGAAGTAGTGGTTCCATCCCAAGGGCAGTTATGGAAGAGAAGAAAAGTTGGAGGCATTAAAGAACAGCTCCCTCCCATAAGGGTCTGAGGGTGGCCTTAGGCGAGGGCCAATATTGCACGCTCAATAATATACCAGAGGGAGTAGGGGAAAATGTTCCCTGTGGGGTTTTAGACCTCTAATAGCGCTAAGAAGCTGTTTTTCTATGAACTGTGAACCCGTTTTATCAGTCAGGAGGACGGACCTTCAAGCACATGTAGCGCATTAAATCCAATGGTGTCACAGTGTTTCAGATCATCAAGTATCAAAATCACTTCGCCAACAAAGGAAGGGACGAAGAAGACGGTAAGCTAGTTAACATGGAGGTAAGCAATGCTGGGTCTAAAATACGTTATTAGAAAGGAAATACATTAGAGACGTTTTATTAGAACTCAAGGATGTACAAATATAACTGTTGTTAGCTCACAAGATCCCTTTAATTGATTTATTTGAATAAGTGAAAATGACCACCAATGACCAACAACAGTTCATGGAGGCTTGTTACCAACTGATCCTGTGGACTGACATAAAAAAGCCTTTACAATATATTTTGGGATTTTTTAACAACTTGATTAGTGCTGAAAGGTAGTCCAAATGATGTCGTTTTTTTCCCTTTGATTTCCCTTTCAAATGTTGAAGAGCTTTTTATGACTCTTTCGAGGTAATTTGGTATTGGTCGCATTTTGCTTTGGGCTTGCTCTTTCCCATCTAAGTAAACACATATTTTTGAAATGTGTTTTCGTTAATGCATATTTAATGTTTTTTTATTTTTCTTACAACCTTTTCTTTTGATTTTACAGAGTCCAAACAATTCTCTAAATAAATAAAAACACTTAAATGGCATGGGTTTTTCATAACAGTCTTTACTCAACCATCAAAATAAACATGTAAGCCCAACTTGCAGTTCCCTAAAACAAATGTTTATGCAGTTTGTCCATCTTAGTACAATTAGTACAAGGTACTTGGGCTGTGCTTACTTAATACACTCTAAACACTCCTTTGATCCCATGTGTTTCTGTTAGCAGATGTAGCCCATCAGTATCAAAGAGCAGCAGAAAAGCGATACGGACTGACAGCATTGTCATATCAATTTTCCTTCCCTACTAAGACACATCTCACTTAGGCAGGAGTGAACGATAGGGCCCGTTGAAAGCCACTATACAAATAATTGCTAGTCCATAGTTGCACCTGTCAAATACAGTTAACCATCTGGGACTCCGTAGACGAAAAAAGGGGAAGAGAATAGATAAGCTCCATTTAGTCTGGGAGGTGATGTCCCTTAAATTGCAGTGGCAGCTGTAAAAGGGCTTGTGCTCGCACGCTGAATAAACGGAAAGTGAGATAAAGGAAAGCATCAGGCTGGAGAGAATAATCTTGGCAGAGGTATGTCAAGGCCATCGCAGCCATCGTTAATTTGAAGAATGTAGCGAACTGTTACCCCAGAAGGATGAAATGTTATCGGAATTGTGTACTCAATTTTTGTTTTTCCTTTGTAAGCAACCAAATACACTTAAAGGAAGTAAGATGTAAGATGATGAATATGCATATTTTCTAGTAACTTCAATAGTTCCTTTATATGTAGGGGATGTTTCTCAAAAGAACATGTAAGTGCATAATTTAAAATGTCCAGAGTATGAGAATATGGAGGATTTGACATGGTCGTCCACATCAGATGATAATGTTTCTGTCCCTAGTGTTTTTAATTTTATTAGTGTATTTTAATTTAATTGTGTTTACACTGATACAATGAATGGTTTGGTACTAGTTAGAATTAAGGGTTGGATTAGATTAGTTTCTAAGGTATTTTGTTAGTGTTGGTGTTTTCTTAGATTGTTTTTCCAAGCTTCAAATAGCTAATCAGTCTCATATCTCCATTTTGTTTTAGGATTTAACTTTTAACTGTTTGTGAATAAATGAATTTAATTGAATGTGTCATGTGCAATTACTATCAAGGCTGAGTATGTGCTGTGAAAGCCTGGCCTTACTGTGTTGTGGCAGTCAGCATTGATCAGCTGCAGCAGCTGGCTCTCAAACTTTTCCAGGGACGGCTGGAGGGAGATGGTCAGTTTGTTCAGGGTGAAGGGCAGCATCTTGAGCAGCTGAGGCCTCAGCAGAGCGTCCCCTGGTGACAGCACAAAACATAGCATCACATATCGACATGCCGTGACATTTACCTGATAATTGTGTTTGCATCTCAGAAAAAAACATATTTTCCGTCTGGGTTGCTTCAGAGGTAAACATAAACTGAAAAGCACCGTCTAGTGTAATAAATGTGTGAAAACAGGTTGTAAAACCGATGTTGGTATATTCCTCTTTGTGACCCATTTTCAAAAGTTCCCAGACAGTCTCTGTCATCCCCATGAAATGTATCAAGGCAGTTCTAGAAACTTAAAAGAGAGGTCAGCTGGAAAACTCGATTTTATGCAGTGTTACAGCCATGCTGATTCTACTTATGTGGGTGTTATCTTTTGAAGTAAGCTAAACTCTATGTTACTTTATCACTAGTTTCAGCATTTGTACCATTTTATGAAAAAACACTTGCTGTTTCACGGCAGCTTTACTTGTTGATATGTCTGCCTCACCCTGAACTCAAGAGCTGCTCAATGTCATATGTTATATGCCCCTGGAGTATGTGCTTTACAGTTTGTTTGTTTGTTTGTTTGTTTGTATTAATAACCATACACATTGGTGACATGAGCGTTAACGCGCCTGTACCACATTGGGAATAAAAAAACGTGTAACATGCCACAAATAAGGGTTGACTCTCCAAGTAGGACTACTACTGTGTAAAATGGCCATGGCCACATTTAAGTTCGAGCCACATGTTTACATATTTCATCATATGAGATTGATATAATGTGTGCGTAGCGACTGTGTGGTTAAGCTTCACCAAGAGTGACGGTTGATGTGCCAAGTGTGAGCAAATGCCAGTGTCAGCAAATCATTAGATTCCGAGTTTTTTCAGTGAATAAAACATTGTATGAAATATTGCCGATGACAAGGGTTCCAGAAATAATAGGTCCCAGGGGGCCATTGAACCCCAAAACCTTTTGCCCCTGTGCTGAACTGTGAATGAGAGTAGATGAAGAAAACAACTGATAAAGTGCCACCCAAGAAGGACTACTATTTTATGAATATGTCCAAGGCAAAGTGTAAGTGCTATCTTAATTTATAAGTATTACTTAGTTGGTATTAAAGTAGCAAAATTGGTGCGTAGCAATTACTGTATGTGAGATGATAGAGGCGCCCAAAGAACACCTGCAACTTGTGCCGGAGCGCAATAAATCTACACCTTTATTGCGAAATTAAGAACAGTGTGTACTGGCCCACTTTAAGCACTGTCATGGAGGAATATATGAGCTGGATGAAGAAACAAGCGCACCCTTTTTTTGGTAGCAGATGTACTGTACGCATGGTAAGATCTCACTCTTTGATTTTAAATGTATATAAATGTTGCTGAGGGACAGCATCTCCATCTAAATGAATGCTCCATTGATCTGTGGTATGCTGCCTAATGCCAATCACTACAGTATTTACACCACAGAGAGAGATACCACAGCTGCTGTCAAACAATCCAACAAAAACTGTTTCCATCTGGCGTAAATTGTATCAGAATCGATTTGTGAAAGCATTTCAGCCAATGGGCAAAGCAGGGAGGCCTGTGAAGTCGACAATTACCCCTTTCTGACACAACAAAGAGAAATAACCAGTGTGATTGGAATCTCTTCAAGAGTAATGTAGCCATCAAGCGTTTCATTGCAGCCCCTTGTCTCGGGAGCGCAGAGTTGGACTGTTCTGAATGCGGCGTGCATATCAAACTGGTGGCTGTGGTCTTAAAAGGAAGCTTAGGTCTCTGCTGCTCACAGCCCCAGAACATGAAGAGGATTAGCCGGCTACCATACCTCCCACTGACTCCCAATGATTATAGCTCCGCACTGTCAGACTTCATTACATTCCCCCTTAGAAACTCACTTTCCAAGTACTGCAGACATCTCAACTCCTGATGGGAATAAGTTTCCACTATTAAGTACCATGATGACTGTCCTGTTTGTTCATTCGAAGTTGGAGAAAGGCAATTTGTTTTGTAAGATTACACCTGATATGTGCTGAGGGTGTTTGGTTGAGACATATTTTGATTGATCTAGCTTGAGTTTAGGTGACTTTTTTCTTTGCTCCAACTTTTTTTTAATTTTTTTAATGGGCATTTTGGGTTTTCCCTTTCCTGTAGTGTGTTATATATGTTTATGTGCATGTATATGGTCTGCAAAAGGTTAAAATCCCAAAGTTCACGCCAGAGGGAGTTTCTCTCCAACGCACTTCCTCCCTTCCTGAAACGCCTTGATTGTAGTTATTTTACTTCAGTTACATAGTGACATCACAAGGTAACACTCATGATTCTATTGGCTAGCGCTCAAACACTTAAAAGTTAAAGGAGGGGACATTTCTAAGCGGTTGACCAATCATAACAGAGCTGGCCAGCTAACCAATAAGAGCAGACTGGGCTCTGGTTTCAAACAGAGTGTGAAAATAGCAGCACAAAATAAAGCACTTTTTGAACAATAGTCAAAGTAGAGGCAAAACATACAAATGTGAAACCTGAAAATGAGCATTATTGGCCCACTCTAAATGAGGACTAATGTGCATCTGTAGTGTAAGAATCTCCTACGTATTTTTTTATTTTGTTCTCGTCTGAAAGAAATACATTTTGACGAGTTAGGGAATAATACAAACGATACACTGAACAACAAGTAGTCTAGACTAGAGTTTTGTCAATAGACCAAATATGCATTACTTACTCTCATCAAGGACGGCAAATGCTAATTTTGTTTACCTTGTAAATCTGAAAATGTGTGCAGAACAGGGCACAGAAATTATGCGAAAATGGTATAGATGGAAAAGGAAAGGAATATGGTAATGGTTGAAGAGAGTCTGCATAGAGAGTTGGAGAGTGAGGTTAACTTCAGGTGAGCTGAAATCAGATGGGGGGGGGATTACAAATAAAGGATTCATACAGCTTTTTAACGGTAGAATTCAAGCACTTTTAACCTTTTACCAAACATTTTTAGATTCTCAAAGCCTTTGTCATCACATCTAAAGAGGTACATTAAATGCATGTACGAGATCTGCTCCATATCTGGTGTGAGATGCTAGGAGAAAACAAACCAATGTTAAGGGATTGTTTAATTTGAAATATTACAATGGTTTACCTGTTGGAGAAGTTGCAAGCCCTGGAATGTTCTCATTTCCAGATATAAGGACATTCTCTGGAAGGAGGTGCATCACGGAAACCAACGCCTGGTGGTTTTTTAACACATATTCGAAATGTGCTCCGTCTATAGTCTTCAGGAGACTGCTGTCTGCAAAAAAAGACATTACATTACATATTACCCAAAGCGACTTTCAATAAGTGCAATCAACCATGAAGATACAAACACAAAAATCCTGCAGTTACATTAATTTTAAATAAGCCAAATCGATGTTAGTGCTACCACATTGGCTATAAATAAGCCAAATCTTTGTAATACATTTGTAAAACGAATTGTATCATTTCACATGCATTTCCTGACAAACAAGCAAACTGCCACTCTGAATACAAATGAGTCAGATTTGACATTCCACCCCACCATCGTTCCCAAACCACCCAAAGAATCAATCATCTTGGTGCGTCTAATATTTCCCCCAAAAAGCAATGAGTCACAGACAACATGACACCCAACACGCAGATCATTTTTCAATATTCCATTTGGGTGCTGGTGACCTAGGTGCAATGTTCCATTACACTGCGAGCATCGTTTTCCAGGGCTAAACTGAAATGACAACCATTCCACTTGGAAAAAGGCACTCCTCCGGAAGAGCACCGCAGCGTGGATGAGGCACAAGGTATGAGCAATGAGGTAGACATGGTCATCCTTCAAGCAGGTCATCCAATGACAAGCGAGGACCCACAATTCCTGAAAGCACCGACCATTTTGAAGGTGAGCAAAGTGGTGTTTGATGCGCTGCGTATGTTTGGCTTCCTTCAAGCCTGAAAAGCATCACAATCTCTCACTGTGACAGGGTTAATGATTGCACCTTCAAAAGCATCAGTGACAATCAATACAGGAAGTTCCATTCACACCCATAGGCTGTCTCAACAGGACAGTGAGCGATCTGAAGGTGAGCCGTAGTGGTAAGTGAAATGGTGGTCATGTCTGAGACAATCCAAGTGCTTGTATGTGTTTTGTTTCATAATTATCACGGTAAACAGGGTTTGTATAAAAGCCTTAAAAGGTCACCTATTATGCAAAATCCACTTTTTCATGTATTTTAAACATAAACATGTGTCCTCCCCTCTGTGTAAAGAGATTCTGAAAGGGTCAGGGAAACCCCCCCCCCCCCACCTTATCACCTAAATCTCCTCCTAGAGCACAATTGTGTTATTTTTAACCAAATATCTTGCAGAGGGGCGTTGGGAGTGGCTCCTTATTTTATCTAAAGTAACAGACAGAGAATCAGCACTTTTGAAACAGGGCTGAAACAGAGGGGTTTATGGGATGCTACAATGATCTGTTTGGTTTTTCGAGCCAAACACTTCAGAGACATGTTTTGTATATATATATACGAGACCTATAATATATTAATGAAAAACAGTATAATAGGGGACCTTTAAAGGACCATGAACCACTTTTTGTAGTGCCTGTGCACTTACCTTTAGCTTGCCTACCATCCTACTAATGGCGAAACTGCCAAGTGAGAAAATATGGCATTCAACCAGCCATTCAGCTTCTGCTCCCCTTCTTATGTCACAAGTTGGCTCATTATAAATCGGGCTTAAGAACTACCATTGCAAAAGGTGCACTTTCTTTTCTCAAGACTACACTGCAGTGCGGGTTTTTATTGGAGCGGGAAAGGTTCCAGACACAGTAACACAAACATAATATGTTTCTTGAACATTAAAGGATGTAGAAAATGTTCAGTAGAAACCCCAAATACAAGGATAACCCTGGAAATATACATTACAGATGATATTTAAAATATTCTGTAAATGCATTAGGTATGCAGGGCAAATACATTTATATAATTCAATATAAATGTATATATAGGTCTCATATTCACTATAACAAAATACAATTTGGACCTTTGATTAACATAAAATGATAGACATACCAAACCCAATTAACTATATGGAGTATAAAAAGTCAAGCTATTGACCAATGGTAGCTTAACAACGGTATACTTGAACCAACATCATAAGTAAACATCTGTAATGTTTAAACCGAGAAAATAAACGTGGCTAAATTACAAATGGATCATGATGGAATCAGATTAGTAGAATTATGATAAGAAAACAGATTGTATGTTAAATTCAATTGAAATCATTTGTATCTTGAAGACTTGAGAGATAGACATTTTTGTAATAAAGGAGTATTTTCTATACAGTATGAAACATCACAACAATTGGAAGCTTAGTTCAGAGGAGAGCTGGGTACAATGTCAATTTTTTCTGTTGACAACTTTTCATCAATTCCCAGGCCAGTGCCTTTATCTTGAAAGCCACTGAAAGGGGATGGAGAGGGAAAGATGATTTAGTATACATTGCTGTGTTGTCCTCCTCTCCCTGTCCATCACTCATACCTGTCAAAGTCTTTAACTCTCTCCAACAGTGAACTTACTACAAATAATTGCTTATGTCTAAAGCCAAACAAATGGTTTGGCAAAATCTCTGAGGTTGCAGTAAAGCTTCAACTCTGTGAGTTTCTCATTCTTCAAATGGTTTCAGTGGCAACAGCAGCTTTTAATAAAAAGGTGTTTTTACCATGAAACAGAAAAGTAGGGTGGGTTTGAAGGGGAAGAAAAAAGAAAGGGGGGAAATCAAGCGGATAACTTTCTTGACACAGTTGTTGCCCAGGTGTCGGCAACTTTTTCATCATTTATTTCTCATTATTCATTATGCATCAAGCTCGGGTTTCAGTCAGATGCTGTGCATAGATTAGAAAACTAGCCCAAATCTTTCCGTACAGCAGTGGTGTGGTACCTCAGAGTCAGTTGAGCAGCATCTTGGCAAGAGATGTGAAACCAAGGAATTCGGGGGGGAAATGGCTCAGCATCACACAAACAGAAGCAGTGGTTTTGGGAGATGGTTGAGTGTGGAAGAAGAAAGTATATAGATGAAAACAAATGGGGATATTTTTTGAGAGAAGGTTGTGCAGCCAAGTTAGGTAAGAGGAAAGGGATTTTAAGTGCGAACCTGCAAGTGTTTCTATGTTTATAGACATAATTGTATTTTATTATTTTATATCTATGTATTGTGTTAAGGCATCCCTACATTAATTATGTTGCATGTTACGTCCCAAAGACCAATGTCAAATGGTGAAACTATCAACTGGGATGAAAGGATTATTCAATTAAGTAAAAACTGGAAAACATGACCTTCTTCTTGCCTCTTGAATGAAAGGCTGTGATGCTTTATTTTTTTATATATTATGTAAATTGATGGATTTTGGAATTGTGATCAGACACATCAACTCATTAGAAAATGTAAACTTGCGCACCTTTTTCTATGATTTCCAGAAAGATTTTTAGTTGAAATAAAAACGCAGAAACACATAATGTATATCTCATACAGATATGCCAGCCACTGTTCGATACACGAACATGGAACAAAAAGAAGCATTCTTTAAATATGTTACATTTGTATATTTAAGATTTGTTTCCAGCATCTGAAATGGGTGATATATTTTAAAGTTTTAAAATAAACTTGTATGTCAAATTATATAGACAAATCATATAATCTCTGTTTTTAAATTACCTTCAACATTTTAGGCGTGTTGTACTATGACATATTTAGTTTTTCTCTGTATTTTTACTGGATGAGTAGAGCGTTTATTACATTACATTCAAGATTTCAACATAACACAAACATTTAAGATAAATACATTAGGGAACAACAGAGTTAATGAAAATTGTTGTTATTAAATTATATTTCATCCTTCTAATTTTTCAGCAAACATTAAGTTAAAATCAAATTTATAAAGTTGAAAACTAGGTAATCTCAGGAATAGGGATGTAGGAATAAAGTAGGGCATTGTTTGCAGAATGGTTACAGCACATGTCACAAAATGTACCACATAAGGAACGAAACCCCACCAATTTCATGTCTGTTAACTTTTCAAAAAGAATTCAGAAAATGCCCAAAATTAAAAGATTAGAGCAGTGCAATAATAATGTATTCAAATAGGAATGCTGGGAATAGGAATGTTTCCCATGAGTACACACATAAGGCCCATGTAAAGAAAGCAAAAGTAACCTTAGTGAGTTCAAATGTATTTAATTGTTTCTGTATTCCTGGGTTAAATTAGTATTGCTGCTCAAGATACGAACATGATAGTAAACAGGTATCAAAGAAACTTCTGAAACTGGTGAAAATGTTGGCAGAAGTTTTGTTGGGAAACCATTTACCAGAAAAGTTTTCAAGAACTGGGGATAGTTTAAATCAAACCATTAAATTGTAATCAGTGATAGAGATGCATCCTTTCGATGAAAACGCAAAAAATAACAGTTTAAATGCTGTAAAGAGTTTGCCAGGGCTCAAGCTGAGCCTAAAGTGCAACATGTTACAGGTAAAGGAGCAACAACAGGGGGAAAGTGTTTAACTTCATTATGTTTGTTGGAAGTTTGAAGCTCACCCAAACAGCAATAAAGCTTGGCGTGGGTGGTGAAAAACAAACACTTATGTGGGTTGCCTTCGAGTCAGATATGCAGGGAGAAGGCTTTTGAAGGCACCAGCAAACCTCTTTATCTTTGCCACAGAGAGGCTTTTCAGGATATCAGTGAGAAAATGTGTCATGTCACTACCTTTCTGTGCCCCACACAGACGTACACACAATAAATTGATGCATTGGGGTGTTGCTTCACATTAAGATATGCTAATGTGAACACAATGTACCATCTGTTTGTCCTCTCATCGCACTAAGAGGGTCCCAGAGAGCAGCCCTCCAGCTTTCTTATTCCATTTTTGCTTCTCTCTACTACTTCCCCTTTCCTCACAGTTGGTCGAGAGGAGAAACTTAGAAGGGCCAATGAGCTTATTGCCTCCCTTCATGCTTGTTTCCTCCTTCTCTTTTTGACTTTCAAAAGCCCCAAAGCAACTTCCGTTCCTCTATCTCCTTTTCCCATTTCCTGCCTCTTGACCCTGACTCCAGCTCTGGAAAATAGAGAAGCTTTGACTTCACCATTTGTTCTTTCTTCCTCAGTTTCAATGCTCCCTTTCTGTTTGAATTCAGATTTAGTTCTCTCCAATTCATAGTTTAGCATGTGGGCTTTTTCCATTGAACCCCCACCCTTTGGTTCTGTCTTTAAACTAAGGAGCAAATCTATT